GGGGGGGGGGGGGGGGGGGGGGGGGAACTGCCAGTAGTCAACAATGGCAACCCAAACCACTCCTGGCACTGGCCTGCGTCTCAAGTTCGGACAGATCAACCTCGATCACCGGAAGGATCCGAACTGCAAGACGCAGGTCGATTGTGAGAAACTAGGACTCCAAGTAATCCTGGCTCAAGAGCCGCTAATAAAGCATCTCCCAAGTGGCCACAAACTGGTTGGCTTCCGAAACAACGTTCGCAAAGTGTACACCGTCGAAGCAAACCAGGCCAGAGCAGCAATCATCGCAGCATTTATTCATGACTCCAATTCCCTCACTTTTGGATATTTTCAAGGATTAATGTTAGTAGGGTGTAGTACATAAAGCTGTCGTAAGGCAGCGCTGGCGAGGCCGGTGTGGCCAGCTGGACTCAGCCAGTGTGTGCGGGGACTGAGGTACTCGCTTGGTATTTGGTATGATGTTAACTGTGTGTAATCGTCATGTATTCGTTAACTGTGTGTAGCCGTTTTTGTATTCGAGTCGTAAACGTTGATTTGTCCCTAGTATGTTGAATAAAAGTATTCGTCTCATAAAATCTGTCATTCTTAAGACACCTCAGTTAGGGCCCTCCGAAATGTTCGAGGACCCCACATAGGAGGGCTATGGATCCTAAATTTTTCTTCAAATGGCGAACCCCCCCCCCCCCTTTTGTGATACATCAATTGAAAGAGGATATAAAAGGAAAATTTTCTGTGCAAGCCGCAGATCGCTTTTTGTCTTTTTGACAAAGTTGCGGCCGGTCAAAGTTCAAAGTATATGGGCTCACTTACAAATGGCTTGCCAAATTTCTTTTAAATATGCATCAGTGCATCCAAATGAAGACATTTTCATAAAAATTGCGGGTTCATGCAATGCATGCGGATCCATTCTGAAGGCTGAGATGAAAAGAGAGCCGATATTAGGAAACAAAGCAATTTTTCAATGCTCATATACCGGGAATAGTGAAAGGTGCACAAACACCCAGAAGAGACGGAAGTTTTATTCGGAAAAAGACAGTTCACT